AAACAATTTTGCAGAAACAAGTCCCGGAGGCACTTGGTTTTCTTTTAAGAATACTCTAGATTCTCTCAATCAGGAGGACACTGCTCTTCTTATGAAATGAAAGGCAGTGAGTGCATGGAGAACAGGCATGGTACAAGGTAGAAGCTGTTCATGTTCCTTTTGGAAGAAGTAGAGTTTTCCTGTGCTAGAACTTCCTTAGAGTGCAGATCAGTGTTGGGTACATCTGACAGAGTACAAGCATCTGCAGAGCATGTGCTGCTGTCAGACCTGGTAGTCTGTCCTCCTTTTATGGGTCACAACGAGAAATAGGTACTTTAATATGTAATTTGTAACATTTAGAGGAGATATTGGAAAACCAGGCTCTGGAGGTGGGACTTCCTCTGTGCTGACAGTTCAAGAAGCCTTGATGACTTGCTCTGGCGTTGAGGTGTGACGTGAGATCAGATGGGTCCTGCCCCAGCACAGCTGGGAGTGAGATCCTATTAACATCTTAGCTGGGGATGCAAATGCCAGAGGGCAGAGGCTGGGGTGTCTAAATGAGGGAGCTAATGCTGGGTCTGTGGTTACTTCCCTCTGTGGAGAGCTGAAGAACCAAGGTAGTGCCCATCGACCTGATGGGAGACTTTCCGAGCCCAAACACCACTGAGTTGTCTGTACTTTAATTAAAGTCAGTGAGGGGCATGCTGCCTTGCTTTTTTTATGTCATTAAAAAAACCCAAACCAACAAAAAACATATATATATATATGTGTGTGTGTATGTTATCTATCTAACACACAGGTGTTCCTTTTAGATAAATGTGGAAGAGATGGAGACGTTTCATTGTGGTCCAAAATGTACAGGATCTGTTCTTCTTTCTGTAGAAAGAAAAAAAAAAACAAATCACTGGCCTTGTTGACTGAGATGTGTGCTGCAGAACTGAGGACCCAGACTATTTTCCATAAAATCTAATGCATAAAACAGAGTCAATACCCAAATACTCAGTTGTGCTCAGATCCATGGCTCAGCTGAAAATTGGTTGGTGCCTTCCTGCTGCCTACACCTGTACACAGTCATGGATAGGTGGTCCAGACTGACCCCATCCCAAGTGCCCACACATCCAGTGACTGAACCCTTTTCAAAGTGGTTTTTTTTCCACATGAGGAAACATCTTCCTCAAGTATTTATTACTTTGCCTTGTCCCCTCATTGAAAGGATGCTGTGAGCCCTCTGCACAGGGCAAGTGTTTGGATGTTCTTCTTTTTTCTCAAATGAAAGAATAGCAACATTCAAGTTCCGGTGGAGCCATGATGCTTCATCAAAGTCTAGTTGACCCTGAAACTTGTGAGTTTTGAGTAAACCAGAAGATCAGGGTTTCTGATACACCAGGTTCTGTGTCTCATGTCTGGGCTGTATTGCTGCCTCCATAGGGTTAAGGAGGAAATGCCCCTTCCTGCGTGAAAGGGCCTTTCATAATGTTCTGCTGGTCTTTTGGAGCACCAGCTGCTGGTGAAAACCTGAGGATGGAATTTCTCCTGTACAACCATCTGAACAGTTGTAATTTCAGTGGCAATTTCCCTTTGCTCACACTGCTCAAATGCACTTTTCTGATGATTTGTAGCAGGGGATTCATTGACTCCTTTTTCAGCAGGACAGCTCTGCTGTGCATGCAAGTCAGTGTTGATATAATTATAACACATTTGTCTTTAATTTGATAGCCCATTGCTCTTAGGCGTGTTCACTGTCACTGCAGAAGTGTCCTTTTAGGTGGCTTTTGTCAGGAAGGGATGAGGGGATGCAGAAGTGAAATTTGTTTAGTAAAGAAACATTATTTCTGTTCTCTGTTAACAGCTAAGCATGTAAAAGAATAAAGCCAAAAATACTGGTCAGTCATAGAGAAGTAAAAGAAGCAATACTTTCCAAATGCAGCTGAGGGATGTGAAAACATGATTCATTTTCAGAAGATTTTGTATTGTAATTCTGCATCACACCTCTGGCTCTCAACACTCTGCTCTCTGTCTCTCTGTGTGTTCAGCTCATAATATTCTGATTATTTGTCACTAGCTGGGCAGCTATAGCCTTAGTTATGATGTGATCTAAAATCCCATAGACACCAAAATACTTGAAGACAAGGAAAGATGTTGCTAAATAGCACATGATATAGCTGGAAAATCTGACCACAGAAAGCCCAGATGTCTGCTAGAGGCACTATTTTCTTAATTGCCTAATTTTAGATACCTAAGGAAGTGTGTTAAAAATAAATAAAACTAAGTTGTGGGATGTTCTTTTGAGGTCTAACATGACTGGTATGGATGATCCTTAGACTTTCAGATGCTTCCAGAAAAAACAAAGTATGCCACTGTATGCCATTTTAGCATGTTGATTATGTTATTTATTTATTTATTTTTAACTCTGGAAGCTTTTAAATCAAAAGTTGCATTTCAGGCTGGGGAATACTAAGTCTGTTGCAGTGATGCTTTCCTTATTTGCAAGGTTTTTTGCTGAACCTTTTATGAATATTTGACTTTGCAGAAACCCCCAAATTCCCATCCGCCCACGTGCAGCTTTGCTCTGAGGTGCTTTTCTGGTGCTCTGGCTGCCCTTTCTCAGTGCCAGGCCTCAGGGAGTCACAACTTCCCAGCACAAAGTACTTGCCCTGTAGTTCTGCTTTTGCTTTGTTGTATTCTAGGTTTTTTTTAACTTTTCCAACTCTGACCTGCTGCTGATGACCTTGCTGAACCTCTGTCCTGATCCGTATCTTATGCTACCCTGAAATATCATGCACAGGAAGCATCTGGCTGTTCCCCTGCTGTATGGGGCATTCTTTCAGCGGATTATCTCTGTTTCATTCTGCTTCGTTCTGGCACAAAGCCTGCAAAAGTCATTTGACAAACCTAAGCTCTCTGCAGATCCAGATCATCCATCTCTCGCCGCTCCCAAGACGCCAGCGATTCCCGCGGTGTCCACCTGCTCGGAGCTGGCTGCCTTGGGGACGTGGGCATTTGTCAGGTTTGCTTTTTTCCCCTTCTCATTGCTTTACTCATACCCCCTAGAAAAGGAACTGCGAGTTGCTAGGAGAAGGTGAATCAAAATGTGTTCAACTTTGGGAAGTGAAGTGTGTGATGGAGATGGGATTTTTAAACATCTACTGACGGTCTTCATGGTGGCAAGGAGGGGGTGTATTTCTCACAAGCTTCTGGCTTCTGCGCTTGCAGATTTCCCATTGAGAGGGAAGTTAACTTTGGTTTTGCAGGTGCAAGAGAAAACAAGTGTCTGTGGCTTCCTTCCGATTTTACACTGTCTTTCCCTTTTTTAAAATAAATTTTGCTCAGCTGCTATGCACAGCCCTGGCAGGTACCCAGCCCCCTTTGTGTTTCTTTGTTGAGTCAACAATAAATCCAGCCAGAGGAGAACAGCTTAATGGTCTGTAGTAATCATCCATCCAAACTCCTGGCTACAATCTTCATCTCTCCAGCCTGTGTAGCTCCTTTCCTCCCAAAGGGGAACCATTTGTGTCCTTGTTGTGCCTTGGTGAGTGTTCAAGGCTAGGCTGCGTGAAGCTTAGAACAACCTGGTCTAGTGGAAAGTGTCCCTGCTTGCAGCAGGGGACTGGAATGGGATGATCTTTAAGTGTCATTCCACCCCAAACCACTCTGATTGTTGATCATGAGTAGTGCAGGTGATGTTGGTGCAGCATAAAATGGCTGGGACCCCTGGGATCCCCCCATCCTTGGTGAAGTGTGTGCCTAACATGTCCCCTTTTGGAAAGTCAGGAGAACCTTCAATTGGGATGTAATACCTTTTTCCAGGCTAAAATATAATCTGCTCAGTTCCAGATAAATGAGTTTCACTTTGATGCTGCAGGTCTCGTGCGTTATTGCTGTGTTGATAAGATTAATGATGTTGTCATGGTCATCTTAGTGGTGTTTCACTAAAATGCCTCCTTTTCAGGTTGAGTAGCAATGTGGGAATCTCTCCCTTCATGTTTTAATTTTTTTTTTCTGACTTTCCTATTAGCAAGATAAGCATTGAGGTGTGATTCCCAGTGCAGAGACCAGAAGGTCTGTTCAAAGAATTCAAAACCTCATGGTTCCTGAGGGCCTTCTGAAGGGTATTTAATATTTGGGGCTGCACCAAACCACTCAGAATAAGCTGCAAGGAACAAAAGCCTGTGAGAAGTGTACTTATTCATTACTGTGTACAGTCATACATTATAAAGTTTAATACTTGCTTGCAGACTGGGTGACAGGGACTCCATTTGCACTGTGTTTGCCTCTTAATCATTATGATCATTTTTTATACATCATCTCTAAGAGGCAGATTAAGTCCAAGCATGACAAAACCTCCCATGGCGTTGCTGCTGAGATCTGCCCAAAAAAAGCAACACTGGGTTTATTTTAATTTTTTTTTTTTTTGAGGCAAAGTTCTTATTTAGCTATTATCAAGCCATGCAATTACTGAAAGACATTATTCTTCTGCTCAGTGATGAAATAAGCCCTGAAGTCACACCAGTGAGGTCACCCAGGTACCTGCAAACACGGTGCCCGAGCATAGCAGCAGTTTGCTGCTTGCAGCTGGTGCTGTCCCCTGGAAGCAGCACTCATATAGAGTGAGAGATAAATATATTTATATCTCACTCATCATTAGTGAGATGCTGTTTGGCTGGGGAAGTTCCCAGGCAGGGTGTGTGGCATGCTGAGGCTGTGCTGCTCTCAGCATCACGGAAATCCTGAAGTGAGCGATGTCTCTCTGGTCAGCACACGAGCAGGAGCAGGGCAGACATCCTGACAGGGACCAGGCAGCGCTGCTTCGTTCACAGCACGCTTCTTGTGAACTGCAAGAATTCATTTTCCCTTTCGGGGCCCCTGAGCTTGAGTTTCAAAACGAGAACCATATTTTGAGCTCTTTGTTCCGATAGAAAGTCAGCTCCTCATCCCTGCTGAAACCCTCTCAGTGCTGCAAAGGTGTAAAAATGAGCCAGGCTCCAGCTCATGCCTTTAATGTCGTGTTTTGTGTTTTCCAGATTGGCTCTTTTGGTGGGTCCTGTGCCCCGCGCAGGCTGTGGCTGAGCAGGGGAGGTCCTGCAGCCCTGTCACACTGTGCTGAGTGTGGCTGCTCTCCCTGCACAACTCCTTCAGCTCATTTCGTGTGAGATCTCTCTCTTCCAAGTGAGTAAACCACAGATGCAACTTCCTGCAAAATTACCAACTTTTACGGAACACTTATGGCTCCCTGCGAGGTCTCCTCCTCCGCTCCCACTGTGCTGCTGCTTTTCTGAAGGCAAATTAAACAGATCTATTCCAATCTGACTGAAGCCATTGAGTTACTTAAACAGATTGACCTGACTTGGGCTTATCAATTTCATTAATGAGGTGTCCTCTGCAACTTCTGCTTGGCTTTTTGCCATCCTTCTCGTTAAAAAATTTATTTTGGAATCTCTTTGTTCCAGGTGGAGTCATTGCCAAATAGTTGGCTGGGTATATGCCTGACCCTTACCCCCTAATAATGCTTTAATTTTCATTTTTAAATCTAGCAAAGGCACTGTGAAATTGCCTTGCTTATAGATGTATGATTTGGAAAATGTTTTAACACTAAGTGAGGAGCAGCAGTGAAGAGGGCGCTTCTTCCCTATGGCTCCATGGAAATAATCCTGCATAACAGAAAGAGTTTCACAATTAAAATGCTGGTTTTTGCAGCCTGGGTGAGATGTCTTTTTATGGTCACCTTTTAAAACAACAACAGTGACAGATTCCACCCAGGCTGGAGGGATAATGATTTCCCATTGAAACTTTATGAAATGGAACCTTCAGGATCAAATGGTGGATCACCTACACCCAAAGTGCAGGGGGAAAAATAAAAATCATTGTTGATTTGTAGAAAAACTGGTGTGCTTCTTTGGGATGAGTATGCATCAAAAATGGTTGGATTAATCCAGATTTACTCCTATAAAACTGTATTCTGTCTTTGAGCATCCCTCCCTGGGCACATCTTCCTTGATGCTGATGGTCCTTCCCCTAAAGCTGTTAAATTGGCTGATGTTTTGTGATTGTTTTGGTTTTTTTCCTTGAGCCATTAAGGTCATTTATGTATTGTACATCAGTCAAGGCCAGATCCTCCACGTGTGCATCACAGCTGTTTGAAGGCCTTACTCAGGCCACAAGGACAATGCCTGTTTTGTACTCCAGATCCTTCAACTCGAAGGATCAACTTCACCCAAAGTACTTCCCAAGTTCTTCCTCCTCTCCAAAAAAAGTAACAAGCTGTGACCTGTCTTCGTTCAGGTCACAGATTATTAATCCTTCAGGTGCAACCTTGACCAGAGCCCCCAGTGGTGGGAAGGGAGGATGTCCTTCAGTCTTCCTCTCAACAAAACTTTCTGCAGCCCATCTTGTCCATGTATGTTGAGCACAAGACATACAATGTGGGAGCTCCAAGGAAGCACAGGCAGAGAGAGAAATGAGATTTTTGGGTGCCTGCTGTATGCAGCCATGAGGTATAGGGCAAATGCTCACTCTATCAAGGTGCAGTGTGCAGGGACATCACACCAGGGAACATTACCACTCCTGCTGCTGCTTTAGTTTTTTTTTTTACTTTTAAGACAAAGTCTCTGTAGAGTTTAGGTGCCAGTGTGGGAAGAGGGCTACTGACCAGAAGGGGTTTGATGCACAAGTTTGCACAAGAAGAGGCATCTTCTTGTTGTCTCTCTGACTCTTTCCCAGAGCAGAGTCCTGAGTTCCATCTGAGCTGACTGGGTTTAGCAGGAACTGGTTTTGCCTTCATCTTCTGCAAGTTCTGTCTTACTTAGTGGGGACAGGTTCCCAGCTCCACTGAAGTGTTCCATTCTTTCATCCTGGTAGAAATAAATCCAATTCATGCAAAGTTGCTGCAGAAGAAAAGCCTTCTGCCCTGGCCAATAAACCACTTCTGCTCCTGTCCCTCCTGCTTCAGCCAGCCAGCCTTGCTGCTGACAGTATTTTCATCTCAAATGCACAGTTAGAAAAGCAGGGCAGGGAAACCCAAGATATATCTTGGGAAATAGATATCTTCTATGCAGAAATACATCTCATTCCCAGACAGAGAGAGGAGGAGGAGGGTGTGTGGCTGTGGGCCCTGGAGCCCAGCGGGATGCAGGGAAGTGGGGGCATCCCAGTGGCATTAGTGAGGACGCTGTTTCAGATCCCAGCAGCGTGCTCCAGCCTCCTGGCTGCAGTCACAGTCACAGTGTTTATTACTGACTGCTGCTGGATTTTTACAAAACTGATCAGCAGGGCATCTGCATCTGCACTATTTAAGGGAGTGGGGAATGACCGTGTGGTTACAAAGTTAGATGTGTGCTCAAGTGTCTTGCTGAACTGGTATTAATTTAGAGAAAATAAATAGGTGCTTCCTGGCTTGAGTCTGGGGCCAGCATGTGCAACCTGTTTAGATTTAGGGTGTTTCAGTTCTGAGTGCCTAACTTAAGATACCTCAACACACAAGTTAATAAAAAAAAACATGAACACCCACAAGAAAAGCAGAAGCTTAATGGCACTGAACCGTGTCCAACACTCGTTTACAGAGGGATTTCCAAGGTGTACAGTCCAAGCAGTTGGATAGTGAATGTAAAGTTGTCCAGAGGACCATGTATATTGCATTTGCAGAAGTATTGTTGAGCTGTGGTCAGAATGACCACAGGTAGACCCGATGTGACTCAAATAATCAGGTAAGGGTCTGCATGGAAGCCACAAGAGTTTGGAGAAGGTGTTTTTTGTGTGTGCTCAGTGGGCCTGATCCCGCATTCCTGTGCTGGTTCTGAGGAACTGACCATTAAAATCAAAGAGGTTTTTGACTGACTAAGGAGTTCAGACTGTATTGCTGTGGCTTTTAGTTCCTTCCATTCATTTTCCTTTGATTATCAGTACAATGCTTTATTTTTGCACAGTGTAGTATTTTATTAAAGGCACATTTGTAGCTAATAATATTTATGAAGAGGCAGCTTTGACTGAAACTGCATCTGAATGTCACTTGAATAATGAATGGGAATGCCATATAGCCATTAAAATTTCAACAATGATAACTGTATGTCTGTTAGAGTCCCCTTTTTGATGGATATGGCCAGCAGCCATTAAAATACAGTGAGAATCCTTGTTCACAGTCTCATAATGGGTGATAATAACACTCTTGATAAGAATTTGCAGCTTAAGATACCAATTTTACAAAAGGGATTTATTGCAGCTAACAGCAGCTCTGAAGATGAAAATGTAACCATCATTCAGTTCTTTTACCTTTTTTTTCTTTTTTTTTTTTTTTTTTAAGTCTCATGTATGTAAAGAAAGGATTTTACTTCCCCATCACTCTCTGGAGTTGGTTTCCTGCTGGCCCTTATTAAAACTTCTCACTTTTTGAATATAAAATGTTAGCCAATATCCCCACTGGTTTAAAAGAAAAGAAAACCAAACTTTTCATCCTATTTTTAACACAGAGGGTTTGTAGAATTTAGAAATAGATTTGGCCTACTGTGTCATCCAGTCAATTTTCTACACCCCTCCATTATTTCTTGCAAGCCTTCATGTTTCTGGGCTTTTTAATGTTTATAGACGCATTGGTGCTGCAGCTGTTCTCCAGCTCAGTGACGTGTGGATGTCACCAGGCTCTAACAAGGAGACTCATGTGGCACTTTGAAGTTGGAAGAAAATAGGGAAAAATCTTCTTAATAGAATCTATCCCAGAAAGTGACTTTGCTTAGCTTACAGTAAATATGGGGTGCTTCAAAAAGTGTATTAACTGTAGAGTAACTGTTTTCTTGGACCTACAAAGCTGATGCAAGAGGCAGTGTAGTACAGTGGCTGAGATGACTGACAGGTTTATATTCTGCTTTTTGACCTTCAAAAAGTCACTTAATCAAGCTTTTCCTTTCCCCTCTCATCCCTTCTGCAGAGCAGGGTTTATCTGAGCAGAAAGTGCTTACTAAGCATCAATTGAACACCTACTGTGCCAGGACCCTGAGCTTTATCTCTCAAGCCTGGTCAAATCCAAAATAATAGGTTGGTCTTCTGAAGAAATAGGTTGTTGAAAGAATCATGTAGGCTTGGGTTTTCGACTGGTATAAAAAACAAGATTTCTTAAGGATTTGGCAAGCTGAGTTTAGCTTTCCTTCTATAATTATGGATATAGTTTGTTGACTTTGCTGATTCTTTACCTCCATTCCTGTGTTCAGTTCCAATCTGGCAGCAGGAGCTGGAAGGCTCACATCCTTCTGCATTAAACAGGGTGCAATGCCTAATTATTATCATGATTAAATTTGGTGATTAAGTGATCTGTAATTGTGTGTTCAGACATCCCAAGATATTCCTCAAAGCCATGGTGCCTGATCATCTGGTCAGGGTTGGGGTGTCACTGTGTTGATTAAATCTTACTTTAAGGAGAAGCTGGTTCACATCTCTGCAAACACTTAAAACTCTGTGGAATTTTGCTACATTTCTCTTTGCTGAGCAATACGTAAAAGTACATCAAGTGCAAGTCTAGATAAGTAATAAATGTCAAGAAAATATCAATAGAAGGATGTATTTGTAAAATAAATTAATGTCTCCTTGTTTAATTTAAGAAGACAGAAAAATATCACATTCATGATAAATTTCTGAAGTACAAAAACAAAGAGAAAATAAATATATGCCAACATTATAACTTCCTCTTCATGACTAAAGCTATGGCATTTTTAAAGCCAGGAATGAAGCAATTTTAGGTGTGATTCAATTGAAATCTCTGCCTTTCTCTGTCCTCTTGGAATAAATCAGCCATGCATTTTAAATTTTCCTGCTTTCATATGCTATGGGATATTGATAAAAAATGATAATAACAAAAAAGCAATGCCTTTTATAGCAAAGAAAAGGCAGTCTGGTAGTCAAATGTTTTTCAAGCTTGGTGCAACTTGGACTGAAAGACTGGAATATCACCTAGTAATAAGTTTGTGGAGATGAAATCCACTTGGATAATAAGTACAGAGCTATGCAACTTGACAGGCTGAGTCCTAAAGGGCAGCAGTCTTGGATCCAATAGTCTCTCTCATTTTGAATAATTGCTGTGCAACACAGAATCAAACATTTATTGCTGAGTACAGGTGCATTTGCTCTCCCTGGTGACCCTCTATAAGCAAATGTGCAAGACGATTTTATTACCAGGAATGCAATTC